TAGGAGGCGGACCTTGCAGTGAGCCAAGATCTCGTACCTGCACTCCAGCCTGGGTGACAGAGCAAGACTGTCTCAAAAACAAACAACAACAACAACAAAAATTTATAGCCGGGCATGGTTGGCACATGCCTATAATCCCAGCACTTTGGGAGGCTGAGGCGGAGGACTGTTGGAGACCAGCCTGGGAAACACAGAAAGATCCCATTTCTATACCAAATTAAAAAAAAAAAAAAAAAAAAAAAAAGCTGGGTGTGGTGGTGCACACCTGTAGTCCCAGCTATTCGGGAGGCTGAGGTGGAAGGATCACTTGAGCCCAGGAGGTTGAGGCTGCAGTGAGCAGTGCTTGAGCCACTGCACTCCAGCCTGGATAACAAAGCAAGACCCTACCTCTTAAAACAAATAAACACATTAACCCCTGCTATACCTGTAGGTCCTTATAGGTCCCAGATGGACAAGATGTCGCCCCTTATTTGCTGGGGCATAAGGAGGTCTGAGAGCTCCAGGGAAGTGGCTGGGAGTCCCTGGGGGACCTTCAAGGAATGCAAAGGACTTATTATGATGTATCATTGAGTTTGGAAATACTTCAATATTTGAATTACTGGAGCTGCCATATGGGTGCTTAGTGACTGACTCTAAGCTCTAGATGCAGCCACGGTCTGGAGTGATGACGTGGTCTTTTCTGCAGCATGTGGGAGCTGGGCATTCCTCTGGACGGGACTGTCTGTTTCGGACAACTTCTGGGCATGTGTGACCACGTCTCTCTGGCACTGGGTATGTGAATGTCTCCCCGATCCCCACCAAGCCCCAGGCCTCACTCCCTCCCAGCCAGAGCCCTTCTCCTATTCCCAATCAAGGCCCAGCCTCCAGATCCTTCCAGAGAGATCTGTCATTCCAGTGTCTGCGGGCCTTCCCAGGCTGTATCTCTGTGTCTGCCGTCTGTCATTTCTGCTGGTTCTTGATCATGGTGTATTATTTCTTGTGTGTTTTGCTATCTTTATTCCTTTTGCTCCTCAGAGCCTGACACCAGATAATTAACGTTTCCTTCTGCCAGCTGCTAAGCAGAACAAAATCACTTTATCCTAAATTCACAGCTTGAGGTTTCTTGAGACACCCCACTGGTGCAAATTTGAACTACAAATACATAAGGGGGTTAACCCATAGCCCCAAGTTCGCAGAGGTGGATTTTTCTGTTTTGTTCCTTGATCTGTTTATGACCAAGACCATTTCCTGGGACTGGGGGAAGGTTGCAGTGTTGACTGTTTATTAGCTCTTACTCTGAGGGTGTAGTTTTTTGGGTTCTGGTTTAACTTGAGGAAGTTCTCCCTTATAACTCTCACCTCAGTCAGGCTTGAAGTCTGACTCAATGTCCTCCCAAAACTCTGTGAAGTCATCAAATAGCAGCTCGGTTTTGCTTTCAGGGCAGAAGTGGCTTACTGTGTGTCCCTTCTCTCTCTGGGTTCTCATTTTCTTATTTATTTATCTATTTATTTATTTAGAGACAGAGTCTTGCTCCGTTACTCAGGCTGGAGTCCAGTGGTGCCATCGTGGCTCACTGCAACCTTTGCCTCCTGGGTTCAAGCAATTTCTCCTGCCTCAGCCTCCTAAGTGGTTGGAACTACAGGCAGCTGCCACCATGCCTGGCTAATTTTTGTATTTTTAGTAGAGACAGGTTTCACCGTGTTGGCCAGGCTGGTCTCGAACTCTTTTTTTTTTTTTTTTCTCGCTCGTCGCCAGGCTGGAGTGCAGTGGCGCGATCTCGGCTCACTGCAAGCTCCGCCTCCCGGGTTCCCGCCATTCTCCTGCCTCTGCCTCCCAAGTAGCTGGACTGACAGGCGGCCCGTCATCACTCCACCCGGCTAATTTTTTGTATTTTTAGTAGAGACGGGGTTTCATTATGTTAGCCAGGATGGTCTCGATCTCCTGACCTCGTGATCCGCCCGTCTCGGCCTCCCAAAGTGCTGGGATTACAGGCTTGAGCCACCGCGCCCGGCCGGTCTCGAACTCTTGAACTCAGGTGATCTGCCCACCTCAGCCTCCCAAAGTGCTAGGATTACAGGCATGAGCCACCGTACCTGGCCTCACTTTCTCTTGATTCTTGGATTAGTAAATTCCTTACCGTCTTGGCACCATTTTAATAACTAAGATTTTTTAAAATGCAGGCTGGATGCAGTGGATCACGCCTGTAATCCCAGCATTTTGGGAGGCCAAGGCATGAGGATCACTTGAGCTCAGGAGTTTGAGGCCAGCCAGGGCAATATAGTGAGATTCCACCTCTTCAAATAATAAGAACAATTAGCTGGGGCAGGGCGTAGTGGCTCACACCTGCAACCCCAGTACTTTGGGAGGCCAACGTGGGTGGATCACTTGAGGTCAGGAGTTCGAGACCAGCCTGGCCAACATGGTGAAACTCCATCTCTACTAAAACTACAAAAATTGGCTGGGCATGGTGGTGCATGCCTGTAACCCAGCTACTGGGGAGGCTGAGGCAGGATAATCACTTGAACCCAGGAGGCGGAGGTTGTAGTGAACTGAGATCATGCCACTGCACTCCAGCCTGGGCGACAGAGCCAGATTCTGTCTCAAAAACAAAATAAATAGGTCGGGTGTGGTGGCTCACGCCTGTAATCCCAGCACTCTGGGAGGCCGAGGCAGGCGGATCACCTGAGGTCAGGAGTTCGAGACCAGCCTGGCAAACATGGTAAGACCCCCGTCTCTACTAAAAATACAAAAATTAGCCAGGTATAGTGGCACACGCCTATAATCCCAGCCACTCAGGAGGCTGAAGCAGGAGGAGAATCACTTGAACCTGGGAGGCGGAGGTTGCAGTGAGCGGAGACTATGCCACTGCACTCCAGTCTGCGCAACAGAGTGAGACTCTGTCTCAGAAAAACACCAAAAATGAAAAAGCAAAACCCACTCTCCCTGCAGGGCAGGCCGGCTATGTAGTGTATAAGTCCATCCCCTATGGCTCCTTGGAGGAGGTAATCCCCTACCTGATCCGGAGGGCCCAGGAAAACCGGAGCGTGCTTCAGGGTGTCCGCAGGGAACAGGAGCTGCTCAGCCAAGAACTGTGGCGGCGGCTGCTGCCAGGACGCCGAAGGATACCCCACTAGCACCCCTGAGGGGGTCATGTGGTCAATAAAGGTCCTTAGGCACTGCCAAAGCTGCTGTCCTGCACTGACACCGCCTCCTTGTGGAAGGGCTCATCTTGACCTCAGCCAGTCCAAGCTAGGGGTTTTGCAATTCAAGAGAGAGCGTTAGGCTGGGAGTGGTGGCTCTTGCCTATAATCCCAGTGCTTTGGGAGGCCAAGGTGGGAGGCTTCCTTCAGTCTAGGAGTTCGAGACCAGCCTGGGCAACATAGCAATATTCTTTCTCTACAAAAAATTAAATCAGTAAGGCATGGTGGTGCGTGCCTGTGGTCCCAGCTCAGGAGACTGAGGCAGGAGGATCACTTGAGCCCAGGGGTTTGAGGCTGCAGTGATCTATGACTGTATCCAGACTGTTCTCCAGTCTGGGTGACAGAAAGAGACTGTGTTTCAAAAAAAAAAAAAAAAGATTGGGAGCGGCGGTGACTCACACCATGTAACCCAGCAGGTTTTGGACGGCTGAGGCGGCGTGGCTCATGAGGTCAGGAGATCGAGACCATCCTGGCTAACACAGTGAAACCCCGTCTCTACTAAAAATACAAAAAAAAAAAAAAAAAAAAAAGCCGGGCATGGTGGTGGGCACCTGTAGTCCCAGCTTCTTGGGAGGCTGAGGCAGGAGAATGGCATGAATCCAGGAGGCAGAGCTTGCAGTGAGCTGAGATCATGCCACTGCACTCCAGCCTGGACAACAGAGCAAGACTCCGTCTCAAAAGAAAAAAGAAAAAGATCGTTAGACACCCACTGAGAATAGTAAGGGCACTGATGGAGGACTAAGGAAGCCTCCCCCACCTCTGAGGCAGCCCATCCTGGGTTGGGTCTGACCAGCGACTGATGCAGAACTTTCTTCATCCCAGGGGATGCCTAAAGGAAGGGCACACATGGAGAGCAGACACCAAGGCACTGAAGTCAAGGGGCTTGGCCTAGGCCAAGTGGCCAGGGAGGGACAGAAGAAAGAGCCAAGTCATTCTGTCAGTTAATAAGCATTGAATGAAACTAAGCGCAGTGGCTCATGCCTGTAATCCCAGCACTTTGGGAGACCAAGGCAGGTGGATTGCTTGAGGTCAGGAGTTTGAGACCAGTCTGGGCAACATAGTGAAACCCCATATCTCTCAAAAAAAAAAAAAAAAAAAAAGAAAAGAAAGAAATTAGCTAGCCAGGCACGGTGGCTCACACCTGTAATCCCAGCACTTTGGGAGGCTGAGGTAGATGGATCACGAGGTCAAGAGATCGAAACCATCCTGGCCAACGTGGTGAAACCCTGTCTCTACTAAAAATACAAAAATTAGCCTGGCGAGGTGGCACTCACCTGTAGTCCCAGCTACTTGGGAGGCTGAGGCAGGAGAATCGCTTCAACCTGGGAGGCGGAGGTTTCAGTGAGCCAAGATAGTGCCACTGCACTCCAGCCTGATGACAGAGCGAGACTCCACCTTAAAAAAAAAATTAGCTAGGTGTGGTGGGTGGCATGTGCCTGTGGTCCCAGCTACTTGGGAGGCTGAGGCAGGAGGTTGGCTTGAGCCCTGGAGGTGGAGGCTGGAGTGAGCTATGATCTCACCACTGCACACCAGCCCGGGCAACAGAGTGAGATCCTGTCTGAGAAAAACGCCAGGTACAGTGGTTCATGCCTGTAATCCCAGCACTTTGGGAGGCCAAGATGGGCAGAAGTCAGGAGTTCGAGGCCAGCCTGGTCAACATGGTGAAACCCCGTGTCTACTAAAAATACAAAAATTAGCTGGGCGTGGTGGTGTGAGCCTGTAATCCCAGCTACTCGGGAGGTTGAGGTAGGAGAATTGCTTGAACCTGGGAGATGGAGGTTGCAGTGAGCCGAGATCGCGCCACTGCACCCCAGCCTGGGCGACAGAGTGAGAATAAAAGCGCTGAATGAGGCCTCCTTTGAGCTAGGTTCTGGGGTGAACAAGGCTGTGAACACAACAGTGACAAGAACGACCCCAGGTCCTGCCTTACAGAGCTTAGTCCGGTGTGGGTAGACAGCCCCATCCTCAGACAGTGACAGCCCCGACTGGTCAGGGCGATGGGTCCCAGGCCGAGTCGCTGGGCTGTGTTGGGGAAGGGGGTGCTACTGCGCAGGCGCTGCGGGAGGCCACTGGGGCTCAAGCACCTCGGATTCCCGCTCATACGGCCGGCCGAATCACGTGGCAGTCACGTGGTGACCACTGTCTAGCCCAACGGTGAGTGCAAAGCCACCTGGACTGGGGTCTGGGCCCAGAACTTTCCCAGAGCTTTCTGGTCCCACAGATCACCCTCAGACCCTTCCGCGAGCCCTCAAGCCCCTCCCACCCTGTCATTCTCTTCCGCGGCCCTCAGACCCCGCCCCCACCCGTTTGGCTAAACCCTGTCCCCATTCCGCTGACCCCCTCCCCAGCCCCAGACACTGTCCTCAGAGCCCCCTTTCCCAGCCTGCAGACCCCACCCCCAACACACAGACACTTCCCTAGTCCTTAGTGCAGGCGTCCCACCCTCGGACCCTCGAACCGTCGGCAGATCCTGCCATCAGTGCCCTCTCCTCCTTCAGAGCCCGCCGGCTGCCCTCAGACCCCATCCACCCCGCGGACCCCACAGACGCTGTCCCCAGAGCCTCCCCACGACCCCTCTCACCACCTCTCAAATCCTAAACCACGGACGCCTCTTCCTCCCACCGCAGCCTTCAGAGCCTCCTCCCAAGCCCTTCGACTCCCTTCCCAGGCTCAAATTCTATCCTCGCAGCCCTTCTGCCACCCTGGCACGCCCGACCCCAGCCCTAAGCCCCCTCCCAGCCCTCCAATTGCCTTAGATCCCCCTCAGCTCTCAGTCTCCCTGCGACCCCAGACCTTCTGGTGTGTGGCCCTCCCAGAGCCACCCCCTTTTCTCATTCAGCCGCCTCCCTTCCCATCAGACCCCTCCTGAATCCCCTTCCCTTCTAGACTGCGCCCCCAAAACCCCCAGCCAACTCTGTCTTTATTGTTTTCTTGTCCCCAAAGTTCCGGTCCTTCACATCCCCCTTCCCTCATGAGACCCCCTAGCGGATCCCTGCCCCGGAACTGGACCCCACAGACGCCCTCACTGCCCTTTCGCTTCCCAGTGGAGCTGGGTTCCAAGAGGGATCTAGACACCCAGGTGGGCCGTCTGCACCACGTGGCTGTGGCGGGGGAGCCCAGGATGGGGCCTGGCCAGGCTCCTGCTGAGAGGTGAGGGCCTGGTTGCTGGTACATCTGTGGGGGCAGGATCAAGGAGCTGTATGGAAGGTGTGGCTTCAGTTGGCCAGTCAGCAGTGGTACCGAGCACTGACTGTGTCCCAAGCTCTGCGGTCCCTGATGGGGATTTAAGGGTGAACATGACCCTTGGACAGGGTGGACAGGTCCGCCCCCGGTCTGACCAACTGGTCTGTCCCCACAGAGAAAGTGTGCCGTGAAGTGGCTCACAGAGCCAAGACCACACCCAGGTGTGTGCCCCCTGTGATGTCCCCAGACCCCATCCCATTCCAGGTAGGAGCCAGGATGGGGCTGTGGGGGACCAAGGGAGCTGTAGGACACCTGGGCAACCCATGCCAGCTCTCTGCCATCCCTCTCTGCAGGCCCCAGAGACTCCTGAGGTCACAGGCCACAGCAGGGTGCAGCCTGGAGCTTGGGCAGCAGCTTGACTCTAGGCAGCAGCTCTGGGCCTAGCTCAGGCCCCAGCCCTGGGTCTGGCCACAGCCCCACAGCCAGGGTCAGCCTGCACTGCTGCCTGGAGCCCAGCCCAACAGTACAGATACCCCCAGAGCCTTGAACAACTGTCCCATTGCTAACCTGTGACTACCTCTGCCCACCCTCCAGTAGTCACCAACCCCAAGTTCTCTGGCTGCCTCTCCTTTGACCAGGGAACTTTAGGGTCGCCCAACTGTCCCCTCACTCACCTGTGACCCTTAACCAACCCTGCTTCCCCCAGGGCCCTTCCCTGCCCTCCACCTCCAGCCTCCAGGACTCAGCCTCCCTGCTGGGGACCCAGCGCTCTATGGAGCAGTTTGAGGAAGCTCTCAGCCAAGATTCCAGCCCTGCAGGGGCTGCTGTGGCACACACACAGGGTTACTCTGCTGGAGCCCCAGCCCTATGAGCCCATCCCCAGCCTGCTGACCCACAGGGAGGCTTCCCACACATTGGGAGGCTGCTGGAAGGCCACGAGGGCAGGCTAAGCAGAGGACCCCGAGCCCAGTCTGTGCCCCATCCGCCCTCCCAGGCCCGCTGAAGCGCCATGGCTAGCAGGTGGCATCTCCAGCCTTCTCTCCTGCAGGCACCCGCTACTGAGCTGACTGGAGAAGGTATCTTCTCCAGCCTGCAGAAGTGAGACCTGAGGCCTTGGATGGGAGGACCCTGGGTAACCCTAGGTCTTTATCCCTGAGGTAACCCTAGGTCTGCCTGTGCCCCACTGCTTCCCAGGATGGACCTGCTGGAGATCATAGCAGAGCTGCAAAAAGGATGTCAGCTTGGAGAAAAGCCCAGCCTGAGCCCCACTCCTGACCTAGACTCCCAGGGTGCCCATGGTTCCCGCTCTGCGGATACCACCTCTTAGAGGCTCCCAGGAGTAACTCCTGCCTTGGTGCCTCCCCAGAAGGAAATAGACTGATAGAGCGCCCCCTCTGTCTGTCTTCACTCACTGAGTTTGGCCCCAGCACGACTTCAGCAGCCACATTTTCACATTTTATTCATTAATGTTGTCAGATGGTTTAGTGGGGCATGTGGGGAAGGAAGGGTAGGAGTTGTCCCCCCATCCCCGTGCACAGGTCAGGACATGCTGGGGGCTCCTGGAGGGAGAGGAGGATGGGGTCAGCCTAGCCCCCCCACCCCAGATATGTGCAAGGGCCCCCAGGATGGAGGGGGGGGATGGGCGGACCCTTCAGTCCAGGGTAGGGAAGCTGGGATTACAGGTTAGGGACCCACATCAGAAGCAAGTTACAAAGTTAGAAACCTGGGGTAGTGGTCGGGGCTCAAGAAAATACAAAACAAGGGATTTGGTTGAGCCAAGCTCCAGTAGAGGTGAAGGGAAGGAAGGACGGCCCCTCCCAGCTGGTGCTCAGCAGTAGCTTCGGGTCTGGCCCTCAGAGTGGAGGGACCAGCTGGGAGTGGGGTAAGGGGGTGGGGGACCAGCCCCCTCCCCTCTTTGCCCTCCATTTCTGTACAAGGACCCTCGGTGGAGCTCGCCCCCCCTTCCATAGGCTGGCGGGGCTGCCCTGTAGAGCAGGAGAGGCTCAGGGGGGCCCCAGGGACCCGGCACCCTATGAGGGGTACGGGGGCCCCAGGGTGCCCGTTGTTTCTGGGGAAGGCGGGGGACTGGGGGACCGGGATCTGAACGGCTTCGGGGGTGGGCAGGAGGGGAAGAGGAGGAGGAAGAGGCAGGTGAGGGACCTCTGGGCCCTAGGGCTAGGTTGACGTAGAGGGGCTCAGGCGGTGTGGGGCGCCGAGCAGGGTGCTGGGGGGCTGAGTAGCCAAGGTGGTCAGGGGGAAAGCAGGAGGGGGCTGGCGGGTAGCTGAGCAGGAAGTCAGGGGACCTGTGGAGTGGGGGCGATTGGCCAAGCATGCCATAGGAGGCATTGAGCCTGTCGGGGGGCATGGAGCGAAAGGGACTCCAGGAGCGGGTAGGGCCAGAATAGGGGGACCCCTCACCTGCCCCGATCTCATAGTACAGGTTCTCTCCCCTGTCGAGTGGTGCAGGGGGGCCCAGGGAGCTCCTCCAGACCGGGGCTGGGGAACTGGGCTGGAAGGATGGGGGGCCCAGGGGGTACAAGCCTGGCTTGGGGACCCCGAGGAAGGGTGGCAGGCACTCCCTGGGGGCTGGGGAGAAGAAGCCGGGGGTAGGAACCTGTGAGGGGACAGAACATGGGGACTGGGCTGCTGCCTCTGGCGCATCCCTGCCCCCCCCACCTGCCCTGAGCTGGGCACTGACCTGGGCAGGGCCTCGGAGTCCCCTCCTTGAGGTCCCCATGGGCCGCTGGCTCCTCAGCAGGCTCCCATCACTTTGTTGCCTTGGTAAGTAGGATGGGGGTCCCGGGACCCAGACACTCGGATGGGCTAGGGAGTTGGGAGGTGGCCCACTCCCTGAGGTCCCTGGGGGCTCCCCACCCACCTCCAGAGACAGTGACCGGCGGAAGGGGGATCGGGGAGTAGGTGGGGTGCCCCCACACTCCTGCTGGCTCTGTTGCTCGGCCACCTGCTGAGCCCGCTCAGCCAGGGCCAGGGCCATGAGGCGCGCTGGGTTCTTGGGGGGTGGGGGTGGGGCACCCCCAGGGCGCAGGAGAGACAGGGGAGGGGGTGGCAATGGTGACTCCATATCAGGACCTATATAAATGAATGGAGAGGGGTTCAGCTGGGGCCAGGCCCTCAGGGTCAGTGAGAGCAGGCGGGGACAGGGGTGGGGTAGGCCGAACACGACTCACCGAGTGGGCCCTGAGCTCCCCGGAGCTTGCTGCACATCTCCTGCTGGCAGGCGTCAGTCAGCGGGGCCTCGGCTCCACGCAGCAGCAGGGGTATGAGATGGGGGCGCAGGCTCCGGCCAGGGCTGAGAGCTGGTGTTGGGGTGGCTGAGGCAGGTGCTCCCCCAGCCCCCAGCAGTTCTAGGACAGCGGGTGGCACTGATACAGCCAGGGGCTCTGAGATGTCCAGGGCAGCGGGCGAGGCAGGGCTGGTAGGCCCTCGGGGCGAGATGGCCTGGGGGGTCACCCTGGGTGGGAAGGCAGAGGCAGGGGCGGGGGGTGCTGGGCTGGCGGGAGGTGCGGGATCCCCTGGGGTGGGGCTGCTGCAGCGGAAGGTTAAGGGATCAAAGTCCAGCCCCCGGAGTCCCTCCAGGCAGCGGGGTGGGCTGAAGTCCAGCTCATCACCATCATCTAGCCAGGCTGAGGTACGGTGTGAGGGGGACCCAGAGAGTGCCCCCAGCCCAGCTGCTGAGGACTCAGAGGATGAAGAGGAGGACTCCGAGGAGGAGGACTCAGAGGAGGAGGACGAGGACAGGCTCTCGCAGGAGCCAGCAGGTGCTGGGCCCACGGGGAAAGCGTCGCTGCTGGAGTGGGGTCGCCGCAGCCTATGCAGCCTCTGGAGGCCTGGAGGGTGGAGTCAGTGAGACCATCCCTGAGAACAGGGCGCACAGCCCCACAGAAAGCTGGGGAAAGGACATGAAGAAGCACCTCCCCAGAGAGTGCCACAGTAGCTGTGAAGCCAGGAAAAGCTGTTTCAGATTCACGGTGGAGACCATGAAGAGGACACTTCTGGCCCAAAGCACAAAGGTCCTGTGGCCGCCCCACAGGCTGTGGGCACGAGACCAGCAGATTCACACACAGCTGCTGAGCCGGCAGGACAGTGCCTGTGCTCCTGGGTACATGGGAGGGCAGTACCCCAGGAATGTGAGGACAGCGCGGTGGTTCAGAAGAGCCCCCAGAGGCATGGCTGGGTGGGATGGATAAGCAGCCCCTGGCAGAGGCCGGAAAGCGGCACCCAGCAGCGCGGCAGGCTGTGAGGTAGCGATGGGGAAAAAGCCAAGCGCGGTGCCCCTTTCTTATGACACCCTTTAAATAAAGTTTCCAAAATGACTAGAACTGAGCAGTATGATCCTTCCACACACACCTGTGTATGATCAAACCTGGAAAGCAAGGGCAGGGTAGTCTGCAAATTGAGAGGATGCCTCCAGTGGGGAGGAACTTGAAGGGGAGAAGGAATGGAGCTGCTTTAGTTCTAGGCTGGTGGGTTCATGGATGTCCATAATGTTATTTAAAAATGTTCAACAGGAATAATAAAGACTTTTTAAATGGCCTGTCATGGACCAATAAGTTAAGTTCGGTGTGTGATGCACCAAAGGTGATACTGTATCCAACTCATTGTACATAAAGGCCAGGTTAAAATTTTCAAAAGCCCCAGGACCCCCAAATGTGAAGTACAAAATTTGGAGGCCAAACCAGGGCCCCAATTCCTCCTGGCTCCACTTGGGCGCAGATAGTGCCCCCCCACTTCCCCCCCTTGCTCACCAGCCCCGCTGGCCTGCGATGACAGAGACTCCTCGCTCTTGGCAGATCTCAGTGTGACGGTGTCGGGTCTGCCGCCTGCAGGAGACGAAGAGGTAGGAGGGCACTCCAGCGACCACCGCTGCCCACCAGCCCATGGCCCAGCCTCTCACCTGAAGGCTGCGGTGGGGCGCGGGTGCCCCCCAGCCAGGGCAGGGGCTTCTTTCGAGGGACACTGGGGCCCCGGCCCAGTGCAAAGAACGTCTTCCAGCTGCTGCCCCCTGGCTTCCGCTGTTTCTCCCCTCTCTCCCCTTTCCTCCTGCGGTTTGGGGGAGAAATGGCAGGTCGTCTGAGGAACCAGGCCTCCACCTGCCCCTCACCACCCCCAGTATCCCACTCACCTTTCCGCAGGTGAGGCGGGGGTCTTGGGAGTTGTAGGCTCTGTCGGCATCCCCAGCCGGCCCTGCGTGCGCGCCTGGGCTTCCTCCAGCGTCAGCAGGCGGGTGGAGGGGCAGCTGCCCGCGAGGGACTTGGGCCTGGGGAGCAGGCATCGGCCTGGGGAGTGTGGAAAGGGGGCACCTGTCAGCTCTGGGGCCGCCCAAGGCCACGGGCAAAGCCAAGCGCCACAGCCCAAGCCCCGGCCCCGCAGCATGCCCACCCGGGCTGGCAAGGCAGGGGGCCGGGGCGGATCAGGAGGGAGCGGGCGGGCAGCAGGCAGGTGGGAGGAGGGCGGGGCAGGACGAGCTGATGAGGAGGCAGCTCCCGGCAGCCAGCGAGGGCAGCGGCTCTGGCTTCAGTTACCTCGGGCCAGAGGGCCCTCCGACGAGCAGAGTCCTGACTGGGCTGGGGTCCGGGGCAGGGCGGGGAGTCTGGGCGGGGCCGGGGAGGGGTCAAGTCTGGGGACCTCCCACCTCCTCCCAGGTGGACCCATGGCCCCAAGCGCCCCCAGGAGCTACAAGGGGTGAAGGAAGAGCGGCGTCCGGGCCAAGAGGTGGGAATCCTGAGCGGAGGAGCTGAAATGAGAAGGAGGGGGGGCGCGGGGAGGGAGAGGCCGGGGCGGGGTCCTCAAGGAGCCGGGAGGGAGGCCCAGCTTCAGTGGGGTGGGGATGGGACTGGGAGCCCACCTGCCCTCCCTCTGCAGCCCTGACCGTGGTGGGCAGTAGCCAGGACCTCAGCGGGTGGGAGGGCATACCTGCAGGGTCGAGGCCAGCGGAGGTGAAGGTGTCGCTGAACAGGACGTCCACGTGGGTGAGCAGAAACTCCACCACCACCGACTGCACCCGCACTTCCCGGAACGCGGCGGCGCCACCCATTCCCACTGACTCCAGCTCCATGGACCTGGATGGGAGGAGCGGGGAGGGAGGCCGGGTGCCTTGAGCCCAGCCAGCAGGTTCTGGCAGGGCAATGTGGGGAGCCAGTGGAGGCAGTGACTGTCTATTCAATACCTCTGATCTTCTCAAACTGATCACACCTCGCTAGGCTCTCAACCTTCCCCCAGAGCCGCCCCTCCTGCCTTCCCCATCTCAGTCAGTGTGGTTCTTCCTGTGGCTCAGTCTGTCACCCCCTCCACTGCCCCGTCTGGCCCAGCCTCTGTCTTCCCCAGCCTGGACATCCCAGAGCCTCCTTCCTGGCCTCCTGCTACGGTCCCCACCTGCAGCCAAAGGGATCCTGGGACCACCTGAGTCCTATCAGGGCCTACCTGGCTCAGAGCCCTGCCCTGGCTGCACCTCGCTCCAGGCAAGAGCAAAGTCCTCACTGTGACCCATGACCTGTGAGTCACCCCTCTGTCTGGTCCCTGTCACCTCTCTGACCTCATCATCTCCTCTCCTTCAACCCCTCACTCACTCAGCTCCAGCCACACCAGCCTCCCTGCAGCTCCTTCAACGCACCAGGCACCAGCCCAGGCCCAGATGTCTGCACCTGCCGTTCCCTCAACCTGGCACTCCCCAGATGCACCCCCAGGGCCCTCCCTCATCCTCTGCAGGTCTTGACTCAAATGTTGCCTTCTTAGTGCAGTCTTCCTCACCCACTTTATTCAAAACTGTACACTCTCTTCTCTGTACCCCTGGCCTTTCTCATTTATTTTTCTCCATCCATCATATGCCCGCCCTCTGACATATCACCTGTTTTACTTGATTATGTATCTGTGCCCCCAGGAGAATGTGAACTCCTGCAGGGCAGAGATCATGCCTGTCTCGTTCACCATCAAGTCCTCCAGGCTTATTCTGCTGCTGGCCACAGAAGACCTGCCAAAACCTCCCTTGCCACCCTCACTAAAAACCTCACACTGCCCTGACCCTGCACACTGCCCTTCCCTCCTCCTCTCTCCTCCTCAGCACTCATCACCATCAGACCTTACTCTGTATTTTCCTGTTGATGTTCATGGTCCATCTCCTCCATGAGAACATGAGTCCCAGGAGGACAGGGCCGTGCTCCGTGCTGTGTCCCCAGTGCTGGGGATGGGGCCAGGTCCACGGAAAGTATTTGATAGACATGTATTCAATGAATAAACAAAAGAAAAGCTGGGTGGGTTCCTGGCGTGGTTTTGGGGAAAGACCTGAGGGGTGGGCAGGCGAGCAGGCAGCTCACCGTAGCAGGTTGGGTGCCCAGACAATGGCCAGGTTGCGGGCATGCATGCTGGTGTTAGCACTGTGTCTCGCCATGCGGGCCAGGTGCCTCAGCAGGTACTCCAGGGTCCTGGGGGTGGGAGCAGAGGGGGACACCTGAGCCTCAACCCCCTTGGAATCCCACCAAGTCCCACCCCACCCCTCCTGGTTTACCTGTAATGTGGCGGGGGCAGCTGCTGGATGACATCGTGTACCCGCACCAGACGCTCCTCCTCCCCAGGCACTGACATGGCCTCCTGAGATGGTGGGTGGGTGTGATGAGGATTGGGTCAGAGGCGTCCTGGCCCCGTCCTGCCAGCTCCCTTACTCACACTGAATTTCCCATAGAGCTGGTAGGTGAGCAGAGGGTTCGGAAGTTCTCGGAAGTAGAGCTTGCAGAGGGAGGACACGCTGTGGATGTCCTGCAGGAAGGCGGGGCCAGACAGCTCTGGGATCCTCTCGCTGTCAAACTCATGCCTGAGACCACCACGTCAAGGAGGAGGAAGATCCAGGTCAGAGGGGCTCACTCACCTGGCCGTGCTCCCCCTGCCCCTACCCCCAAGTGCCTGCAGGTGGATGGAACCCTCTTCCCCAGGTCCTACACTGGGCTCTTCAGAGGCAGAACCTTACTGAACTCCCCAGCAAGCCTGTGTGGCAAAAGAGAAGGGTGCTGCATTTACAGAGGAGGACGCTGAGGCTCAGGCAGATGTGCCTCTGCCTGCAGCTACCCAAGACTGACTGACTCCAGAGCATGAGCAGCTTCTACCAAGCAGCCGCCATTCTCCTGGCTGTAAGAGGGCACTGGAAAATGTGGACAAAATCCCAGCACCCTGCTGCTCCCAGTTCTCTGGTGGGGCCCCACTGCCTGTGGTAAAGTCTCCCACCCACTGCCACCTCCTGCCTCCCTCTTGACACCCCCGCAGGCTTCAAGCACTCCCCTCTCAGCCTCCTGCAGGCCAAGATCTCGCCTGGCTCCTCCCCACTTCTAGACCCCGCCCTGGCTCAGAGCCCTCCTGCGGTTCCCCCTTCACTTATAGTACAAGCCAAAACCCTAACATGAAGGCTTTGCCTGCACTGGCATGGGGACTCCTTGGCCATGGCCTCCTGTCGCTGTTCCCTTTGCCCCGCTGCTCCCTCTGCATGGCCTGCCCCTCCCCGCCTCCAGGCTCTCAAATGAGGTGGCTCTGCCCTTGCCATCCAAAACTGCAGGCCTCCCTCCTGGCTCCTCATCGCCATCCTCCTACCCCAGTCTGTTTTCCTCCACAGAACCTGTCATCTTCTGGTGGACTCTATCCCTCCCCGTTTGTCTCTTCCTCTAGCCTGTGGGCCCTGTGAGGGCAGGCGTTTCTGGCTGTCTCACTCACTGCTGTGTCCCCAGTGCCTGGCACGTGGCAGGTGCTCGGTGAAGACAGAGTCCTCGCTTAGATTGTGAACTCTACTCTCAAGAGATCTGTCCCTGACCCCAGCCTTGATCCTGCAACTCCTGACTCCTGGTAACTGTGTCCCCAGCATGCGGCACGGGGCTGGAGTGGAGGTGCTGGTGCCTGTGGAAGGACAGGGTTGGCTAAGGGCCCTCACCGAAGCCTCTGGATGTTGGAAGACACGCCTGATAGCCGGTAGATCCCATCCACCACCCCGTGGGCCTCAATGAACTCGGAGCAGCAGCGCAGCACCTGGGGCACTGAGAGAAAGCAAGGTCAGGGCTGGGTGGGCCGCAGCCCTGGTGTGACGGGTGGGGTGGGTGGGCCCAGGCCTCACCATCCTGGCCTGAGTTGCTGAGGTGTTCGCCAAGATCGCAGCCAAACACCCTCTGTCGCAGGATTCCCCGCTGCCGCAGCCGCTGCCGAGAAGGGCGGGAGCGCATGAAGGTGCGGAGCAGGCCGGCCAGCTTCCCACGAGGCCGCGGCACAGCTGTCGGGGCAAAGGGCAAAGGCAGGCCTTCTGGGGTCAGTATGGCCAGGGGCCTGGCGGGGCAGGGGCAGGGATCTGGCAGCCTGTTTCTATTACCTGAGGTCAGAGACGAGATACCCTGGGGAGCCGGGATGCCACATGGGGGGCCATCGGCATCTGCTGGGCAAACAATGGGGTGGAAGGGATGAGTGGGAGGCAAAAGACGCAGGAGGCCCCACTTTTCCCCACCCCTCCTCACCCCTCCTGTCTGTCCACGGCACTTACCCGCCTTCAGGCCCGGACCTGGTCGCTCTGTGAAGAGTTCCACACACTCACTGGGGAAGAACCCAACCTGAGGAAGGTCAGGGTCAGTGGCTGGGCCACCCCAGTTGGCAGGTGCCCTAGCCCCACCTGTCCGCACCCAGCTGGACTCACCTGGAAGCCTCGCTTGCCCCGCCACCAGCTCCGATCCTCCGTGGGTGGCATGTCGATCACCGAGACAATGTCTCCCACCTGGGAGGGGGCGGGCGGGAGGAGAAGGGTCAGAAGGAGCAGGGGGTGTGGGGAGCCCAGCTGCAGTCTGCTTCCCCACAGCCTCACCTCAAAGGACAGCTCATCTGGTGCCTGGGCCGTGTACCGTTTGATCACGTGGGCGGCCGCCACTGCAGGGATATTGAGTGACGCCTCCTCACTGAGGAGCAGTCGCCGGCCGTGATTGTCCAGCTGAAATGGAGGTGGGATGTGGCAAGGACAGGTCAGGAGACGGTGTTAGTACAGGCATACCAAGCTCCTCCAAGCCCGGCGAGGCCACTGCCTGTCCCCTGCCAAGAGCCCCTGTCACACAGAGCTATTGGTCAAACACCTAAATTCCTGTTTGTAGGGATGCAGCCCTGGCACCCTCTGGGGGTAGGGAAACCTCTAAGACAAACCCCTTTATTTCCCCTCACATGTCCCAGGATTCTCCCACCCGAAGGCTTCCCCACCTGAAGGCTTCCCCATCCAGCTCTGCACCTTCATCCTCCACAGCAGATACCGCATGGTTGCCATCTAAAAACCCTCTGTGCTGGGCGTGGTGGCACACGCCTGTAATCCCAGCACTTTGGGAGGGCGAGGCTAGAGAATCGCTTGAGCCCAGGAGGTTAAGACCAGTCTGGTCAACAAAGCAAGACTCTGTCTCTACAAAACATTTAAAAAAAAAAAAATTAGCCAGAGGCCAGGCACAGTGGCTCACGCCTATAATCCCAACACTTTAGGAGGCTGAGGTGGGCAGATCACCTGAGGTCGGGAGTTCGAGACCAGTCTGACCAACATGGAGAAACCCCATCTCTACTAAAAATACAAAATTAGCCAGGCGTGGTGGCACATGCCTGTAATCCCAGCTACTCAGGAGGCTGAGGCAGGAGAATCACTTGAACCTGGGAGGCAGAGGTTGCAGTGAGTGAGATCATGCCACTGCACTCCAGCCTGGGCAACAAAAGTGAAACTCTGTCTCAAAAACAAAAGAAAAAAAAAAAAACTTCTGGTTTAAGCCACTCATAGCCAGGTGTTCTGTGAGTTACAGCCCAACCCATTTCTAACTGATATACATTTAAATCCTTGTATCCTCACAGCCGAACACCTGCTACCACACACACGTGCACACACACACTCATACACATTCTCTCACAGGCATGCGCCCACACAGACACTAAAATATCAATGCCTCCTCCACTCTGGCTCCTTTCTTTTCTATGCCCACACACACTCCCAGGCTGGTTCTCGCCCCTCAGACACCCCCTCACCCACTCTGAACTCCAAGCCCCCTGCCCAGGCCCACCTCCATCCAGGTGAGCACAGGCCCGCAGTTGAGGTTACTGTCCACCAGTCCTGACAGGGTCTCCAGGTACTGCAGTAGCAGTGGCACCAGCATCTGGGGGCAGGTTGTCAGGGTGGGCCTCTGTGAGTGGACGTGAGAGAGCCCACTGCCCTCCCACACTGCCCTAGCTTGCCTCTGGGCTGAAGTTCATCCTGAACGCATGGGTGCTGCTCAGCTGTTAGGTACTGAGACATGGGCATATGAATGAATAAGTAGGCTGGGCCAAGCTCTTGAGTGCCCTGGTTGGTATGACCATGGTGACCCTCCCATGGAACCCCCTGGAACTCCCCATGATCCTAAAACTTAGTGAAGCTAAATGTAGCAGAAGCCTACTACATTTCTAAGGTTTCTCCATTCATTCAGATTGGTTGGGACTTGGGCCATACCAGTATTTAAATATTTTTCTATCCTGCTGCCTTGATGATTTCACACACTGTGGATGAGGATATACTCACGAGGCAGGGGCTGAGACAACAAGCAGGTTACCTGGGCAGCCCTGGCACCCTCGGGGGGCGGGGGAAGCTCCGGAAGGCAGGAGAACCTCCGGTCAAATATGCACCGGTGGAGATGGGCATCCAGGGAACGAAAGTCATCGTAACTCCGGAGAACCGGCCAGGAACGGCCCTGTGGGAGCAAAGGGACAGAAGGGAGCAGGGGCCCCATGACACCGAGCTGAGGACTACCGCGGCCAGTCTCCCAGGCTAGATGAGAGGTGGGGTGGCCTCACCTGACAGGTTACCTGCACCCCGAACACCAGCTCATTCTCTCCAGAGAGGCTGGGCCCTTCACGGTCTGGAGACAGCAGGAGCTGCAGAGGGAAAGCAAGGCCCAGGTGGACTTTTGTCCCATTTCCTGACCTCCCCGGGATGGCACTCTCTAGGGATGGGTTTGTGTCCCCTTTCTGGACCTCCCCGAGGACAGGGCCTGGTGATGTGCTGGTCCCTGGCACAGAGCAGATACCTAACAAAAGTTGTCGTTGAATGAATAAAAGAACAAATGGATGAATGAATGAGCAGCTCTACCCATCTGCTGTGGCTCCTGCAACTTTTGCTACTGACTGCTCAGATGCATGCAGCAGCCAGTCACAGGGACAGGTTTCAGAAGCACAGCAGCTGATATCATTGCAAGGTTGCGTAGGATATTGTCTTCCCTCCTGGGTGCAAATGCAAAGCCCCCATACCTGAATGTGGCCAAAGTCGACGTTCTCGTAGTGGAAATGGGCGCAGTCAGCCAGCCGCGGGAAGGGGCCTCGAGGAGCTGAGAGCCTGGGAGACAGGGGCTGCGTCACCAGCGGCTCCTTGAGCCTCCCCAGCTCCTAGCTGAGCCCTTTCCTCCCTCACCCTCACCTCTTCCCAGGCTTCCCCTTCACACTGGGCCCCCCAGCGGTGGGTAGGGGCTGTACCGAGCCCTCCCCTGGGCCATCCAGGCTGTCAGTGCTGCGTGCCTGTAGAGCAGAGAGAAGAATCAGAGGCCCCCAGAGATGGGAGCAAAGAGACAACGAGAGCATTGTTATCTGGCAGCACAGGGCCCAGAGCCTGGGGCGCTCCACACACCGCCCTGAGCATGAAGCAGGAGGGCAGGTCGGGGGAGGTTAGGGCTGGGCTGAGGACAGGACTGCTTCTTCGTGTGTGATCTGGGGTGGTGGACTGGAGAAGCAGGGACCAGACGTGAGGCAGGGCAACAGGACGGAGAGCATGCTGGTCCTCTCTCTCCCTGCTGAAAACCCTTCCATAGCCCCTGCAGAGTACAGTGACCTCCTACCACTGTCTGGACAATCACGGCTCCCATCTCATCAGCCCTCCTGCTTCCAGCCTCTCCCCTCCTGCCAGCTTTTCCGCAACAGCCTGGATTGTTTTCAGAAAACACAAATCTAGCTCTGTTTCTCCACAGATCCTGGGCCTTCAATGACTCCCTGTTGTCTTCAAGATGAAGTCTGAATTCTCTGGTCTGATAATCGAGACTTCCCTGAGCTGATTTCTGTTTACCTCTCCAGTCCCATCTCTTTCCATTGCCCCTGCTCGCAGAGCTCTTGAACTTCTAAGAGTCCAAAACAAGCACCCTCTTCGCATTTCCTTCTAGGCCTTTGCAAAGGCTGTTCCCTCAACCTGGAACACTTGCCCCACCTTTCCCTGGAGTACATTCACCTCATTCCCACCCCTTAGGTCCCAACTCACATGTGCCCTCCTCCAAGAAGTTCTCCCTGACCCTTCAGGCTATGCCTGGCATCTCTTCTGGACTCTCTCCATCCCCTGAAGTTCCCCCATCCCAGGTTCCATGCCTCGACCTGAGCTTCTCCCTTTACAGCTCTGATCACTCTGAGATGGCACTGGTGGTGACAAGTTCATCTCTCTCATTGGACTATGACTGGCCTCCCAGAAGGAGGGCCCCAGACTGAGCTCCCCAGCATACAGCCAGGCATGGAGTTGATGTTCAGACAGGATTGTTCCCGATTATTTTCTGGGTCCCCAGTGCCAGCCCAGTCGCACAGCAGGGGCTGGGTAAAATCTCATGAATAAATTAACCAGCTGCCAGACAGATTCACCAGACTGGGCTGTAGCATCTCCCTCCTCCATGTCCCTGCAACCCCGAGTCACCCTCAGGGTCTCACCCTCAGGGTCTTTCCCCCTCCAGCCCATGAGGTTCCCCAAGGCAGGATGGGAGCTGACTCTCTCTGTGCCTGGAGCATGGAGCCTGCACAGAGGCGGTCTCAGTGAATGTCTGCTAAGTGAGGGAATGAATGGATGAATGAGCGGGAGCAGCATGGTGAGAGAGGGAGATGGTGGGGGAAGGGGATGAGGACAAGGAGATGGAGCGGACCGAGGATCAAGGGAGGTAGAGTGCTGGCCTGTTGGGGTGGAGTAAGGAGGGAGTGGCTGGAGAGATGAGGCAAAGGCTCAGACTGATGCTGGGCGGGGGGGATTGAGAGGAACCAGGATGGGGTGCAAATGAGGGAGAAGGAGAAGAAAAGGGTCAGGCTGGGGATGGAGCGGGTGGGGGTGGGGCCAGGAATGAGAAAGGGGCTGTGGGAAGGAGGAGGGGGCTCCACCGGGGAGGGCTGAGGGCTGGCAGAAGGATGCCGAGGAAGGTGCTGGGATGGGGGCTGGGGAAAGACCCAGGAGCCTCAGGAGGCCTCTTCGGGGGCCACTTGGGTAGCGCGGGTCCCTTCCTGAACCAGCCCCGCCTCCTCCCAGCCCGGGCCCTAGGTCCCTGTCACCCCATCCAGGGCGTGGAAGAAGGGGATGCGCGCTGAGGGGGCGGGGTCGAGGTACGGGCTGGGACCCGGGATGGGGCCGCAGGACTGGAGGGACCACGGCTGAGCACAGGCCGCGGGCCCGGGCGGGGCCGGGGGCGGGGCGCGCGGGGCGGGGCTGCGCACGGACAGACTGACACGCGGACGGACAGGCTGACGGCCGCGTGGGACCCTCACCACCATGGTCGCGTAGCCTCCTCAGGCCCCGGCCGCGCTCGACCCCTCGCTCGCCGTTCTCGTCGCCGCTGCCGCCGCCATGGCGACACAAAGGGGAGGGCGCGAGCCGCGCGCGGGCGGCTGCAGACCCCGCCCCTAACGGCTGCCCGTGGCTCCGGCGCGCGCCCCACGGGGGCGGGGGGCAGCGGGAACGCGGCGCAGCTTCTCATTGGCTCCGCCCTTGGCCCTGGTCGATGCCCCGCCCACCAGGCGGCTTCTCATTGGCTTTACCTTGGGCTCCGCCCCGGCTCTCTATATATATTCGGTCCCACCCCCTGAAGTTTGACAGCGCCACGCCCATGACTGCTTTCCATTGGCTGTCATCGCCCTCCTGAGACATGCCCCCAGGTTCTTTATGCTTTGCTTCCGACACTTCCAACACCAAGCAACAGACCCTCCCCTTCGTCCACTCCCAGTGGCCATTCTTCTGACTTTTTATTTTTATTTTTTTAAGAGACAGGGTCTCGCTCTGTCGCCCAGGCTGGAGCGCAGTCCTGCAATCGCGGCTTACCGCAGCCTCAACCTCCTGGGCTCCAGCGATACCTCCCAAGTAGCTGGGAATACAGGCGCGCGCCACTACGCCTGGCTAATTTTTTTAGACATGGGGGTCTCACTATGTTACCCAGGATGGTCTTGATCTCTGGGGCTCAACAGATCCTCCCGCCTCAGCCTCCATTCAAAGCGCTGGAATGACAGGCGTGAGCCACCACGCCAGCCCCGATATTCCTTTTTTTTTTTTTTTTTT